AGAGCGAGAGAGAGAGAGAGAGAGAGAGAGAGAGAGAGAGAGAGAGAGAGTGTCGCTGCCTGGCAACTGACTGATTCTGCTCATGTGTCTTTATTACTGTACATGCTGATGCTGAAAAACATCCCTTTACGTGTTATTTACTGACTGGAAGCAATTTTAACATCATACTGGTCACACTGCAGCACAATATTAGGCAGAACTACAATGGATCATTATATACACACACACACACACACACACACATTTATATGGTTTTATTTATTTCTAATATTTTTTCTTTTATTGATTTATTATACAAAACTGTCTAATAGTGTATATATATATATACACAATAGATATCATATATTATTATTTACAGTGGGTACGGAAAGTGTTCAGACCCCCTTAAATTTTTCACTCTTTGTTATATTGCAGCCACGTTTTAGAAACTATAAAATTCTACTCCACTTTCCTGTAATGCTGTAAACATGCAGCTTTAAAATTTGTGTTACTTTAATTCAGAGATGAGGTCAGACAGAGAGTTCACCTACCGGTCACCAAACTCAGAAATATGTGGTATTATGGAATTAAAATGGGTTACGAAGTACATTTCATGAGTATTTGTGAGCCTGGAGCACAAAAGCAGTGTTAAGTCGCTGGAGTATATTTGTAGCAATAGCCAACAATACATTGCATGGGTCAAAATTATAGATTTTTCTTTTATGCCAAAAATCATTAGGATATTAAGTAAAGATCATGTTCCATGAAGATATTTTGTAGATTTCCTACCGTAAATATATCAAAACTTAATTTTTGATTAGTAATATGCATTGCTAAGAACTTCATCTGAAGAACTTTAAAGATGATTTTCTCAATATTTAGATTTTTTTGCATAAATACATACATTTATGCATAAATCTCAATTTCAAAAAATTGACCCTTATGACTGGTTTTGTGGTCCAGGGTAACATTTCTGAACACTCTTGCTGGTATTGAGGTATTGAGCTGGTATCAGACTCGATCTCGAGCTCTGTGTCTGAAGACAGAGGCGAGAGTGAAACTAGCTGAGCGATCGCGTGTCGTACCTCTCTGTCCTGCCGGTCACTTCCTGTCTGTGTTTTGGCGGGATTCTTCAGCTGCTGCTCCAGGTTGTGAATCTCCTGCTGAAAGACGTCTCGCTCGTGTTCCCTGTCCGCTGCCTGCTCCTGATGGACAGAAGGACAGAAACACTCGGACCATGTGACACGCTTAGCATGCTACCACGCTAAACCACACAAAAACATCTGCTGAGCTTCATGTGTTCACAATATAATACTGTCTGACTGATGTGGGTTTTGCGATTGCTGATTAGGAAAAAAACATTAAATAATCGTGGAAGAGAAGCAATTAATCGCTAATTGCTTTTATCACATCATTATGGAAGCTTATTTCCGCTATGGAATAAAAAAAAAAATTTAAATTAAAAGGGTAATTGCGACTCATGGAACACCCATTTTATCTCACAATTCAGACTTTTTTCCCCCCACAATTCTGAGTTTACATTTCACAATTCAGACTGAGAAAAGAAGTCAAAATTGTGAGAAATAAACTCAGAACTGCAAAAAAAAAAGTAAGAATTGTAAATTGTAAATATAAATGTAAACGTACGAACTCCGAACACTGCGGGATACGAACTCAGAACAATTTCCGCTATGGAATAAAAAAAAAAATTTAAATTAAAAGGGTAATTGCGACTCATCTTATTAACATTTTATCTCACAATTCAGACTTTTTTCCCCCCACAATTCTGAGTTTACATTTCACAATTCAGACTGAGAAAAGAAGTCAAAATTGTGAGAAATAAACTCAGAACTGCAAAAAAAAAAGTAAGAATTGTAAATTGTAAATATAAATGTAAACGTACGAACTCCGAACACTGCGGGATACGAACTCAGAACACCACGAGATACGAACTCCGAACACCGCGGATACGAACTCCGAACACCGCGGGATACGAACTCCGAACACCGCG